AGCCTATCATTCTGGGAATGATAAATAGCTGTCACTGTATATCACTCACACTGGATATCCAACCTGAGCTTCCAATCCCTCATATACGATCAGAGTGGTTTACATTACGGGACAGCATTGCTATTGGATGGGAGGAAAGGTTTTTAGGTAACATCAAAGTCTACAATGAGTGGCGCAAAAGTGAGAACAAGAAGATTGATTGGTCCAAAGCACGTCAAATTGATCTTGATTCTGGCTCTTCTGATTTATCTGAGCCTGAAGAATAAGTAGTTTTAATGTTTTCTCTTTTCTTGCTTCTATCCTAAACTTGATCTCTTATTAATTCTTTGTTATTTTGGATCTACACCTTGGAAATCCCCTGGTTTGTTTCGGTTCTCCTTCTTTGATATTTTTTTTGTCTTTCTTGTTTAATAATATAATTCAAACTTAACATGAATCAGAACCACAATTGTTCCATGTTTCAACTTTGCAATTGAGGTGATCTGGCTCCTAAATTGATGTGCCCACATTTATGTTTTTACAATCGTGCCACAACGGTGGATGGAGTGGCACATGTGACACAATAGTGCCACACCGTTGTGACACTCCATCCACAGTTGTGGCACGACTGTAAAAACAGTGTCACAATGGTGTGACACAACTGTGTCACACGTTACACAGGTGTGACCCATCATGAGACATTTGTATGTTTTGGTTTCAATAATATAATTTAAACTTAACATGAATCAGAAGAACAATTGTTCCATGTTTCAACTTTGCAATTGAGGTGATCTGGCTCCTAGATTGATGTGCCATCATTTTTGTTTGGACTTACGAGCCAAAAATGTTGATTGGAGTGTCACATGTGACACAATGGTGTGGCACAGCTGTGTCACACGTGACACAATTGTGACCCATCATGTTGTATGTTATGTGACACAATGGTGTGGCACAGCTGTGTCACACGTGACACAATTGTGACCCATCATGTTGTATGTTTTGGTATCAATAAGATAATTTAAACTTAACATGAATCAGAAAAACAATTGTTCCATGTTTCAACTTTGCAATTGAGGTGATCTGGCTCCTAACTTGATCTGCCATCATTTTTGTTTGGACTTACGAGCCAAAAATGTTGAATGGAGTGTCACATGTGACACAGTTGGAGCACACCGTTGTGCCACTCCATTCACACCGGTGTGTCACAGTTGTGTTAACAGTCTTACAATGGTGTGGCACATATGTGTCACACGTCCCATCATGAGCCATTTCTTGTGTGGTTACACAAGAACACAAGAAATGATAGTGTAATGCAAGGTTTGTCCAAACCCTATGTACACATGAGTGTCATCAAGGTGTAACCTGTGTCACACCCATGAGGTCTGTGACTGACACAGCTGTGGTTCATGGTGACACAAACCTCACAGCTGTGACACAATTGTTTCACCTCTGTGAGGTTTGTGTCACCACTAAACAATGTTGTGCCACAAACAACTGTGTCACCACGAACCTCACAGCTGTGTAACAGCTGTGGTTTGTGGTGACACAAATCAAATTGCCACAATTTAATTCAATTGGATCACTGTATTAATTCAACGATTCATTTGAATGAATACAATTGAATTCAATTGAATGAATTGAATTGAATCAAATCAATCAAATTGATCCAATTGAATCATCCGATAGAATGATTCAATTGGTTACATTTGATTGATTTGATTCAATCCAATTCATTCAATTGAATGATCCAATTGAATCAATACAATTGAATCATTCGAATTCATTTGAAATTTCAATTGAACTTGTTCATAGGATTGTTCAATACATTAATTTGTCTTGATATATTCAAATGAATGTATTGATTGAAAGGGATTCTTTCAAATGATGCATTTGAAAGAATCCTTTTTAATTCGGTTCAATCATTTGAATTGATGAATTGAATCAAATCAATCGATTAAATACAATTACAATTAAATAAACCTATTGAAAGGTTTCATTTCGATTTCATCCTTCTGTTCCCATCGAGCGCGATGGGAATCTACCTTACCACCCATCCCATCATCTTTTCAATTCTCAACTCGCTTACACCCTCAAGATTTACCTTTAATCTAACTGGACGATATTTCAAATCAAAAACGATCAATATTTCCTCTTAGTCGTGGTTGCTTGATTAGAGTGTTGTTGGCCTCCGGCTACGATCCATCTGGTCATACGGCTCGCTGATTTGAATATTGCTGCATCAAAATCGACTGTATCAATTGAATTGATTGTATCAACCACCTCTAACCAAACTCTTGCGGTTACTGGTTCACTAGTTAATCGATCAAGTAATGCTCAAAGTCGTACATCTTCCAATCCATCTCATCATCGGCTGATTGTTTTGTCTTACTTAATCTTACATAGATCACCATGTCACGTCAAAAAAGAAGGAAAAGAGCCGAAAAGAATGGATTCAAGAAGAAAAACTTCAAATCTAAAACATCCCCATCAGCTGTCAAGCGGCGAACTGAGAGATGGAAATCTTATTACGACCTAGGCCGATTACATCCTCAAAGGCATACCCGCCGAACTGAAATTAAAGCTAGACTCACCAAAGAGCTTGGACTTCCTCCTGACACTCTCTTCATATTCAGATGGAGTCGAGATAGTGATCATTACACTTTGGATCGCGATCCAATCATGATCAGTTCTGGAACGGTTGCTGTCATCAACGCGGCCAATCTTTCACTCATTTTGGTGGTTCGCTGCACCAAATTCAAAGACCTCACACCCTCAGTACGTGCCGCGTTTGATGAAGCAATCTCGACCACTTACAAGACAGCACGTGCTCGATGGAAGTGTTTAACTAATAGAGCAACTAAGAGACTTCAGGAGGCGGGTATTTATTGGGGTTGGATGGGATGTGCGGGATGGAGAGGAGGATCTGACCTAGATCTTTCAGCTGGTCAGTCAATCTCGAATACATATCTACTTCAATGCAGTTTGCTGATGTTCATCAGAATAGCACCTTATTCTCTGAATGATTTCACATCTTCAAAGGTGGATCGTATTGATGATGACCGACAAAGAATGGCCAAATTCCACAAGATCCGTGATTTCCTGGCTGAACGCTTTGCTTCACTAGCTTTTTCCATCTTTGTATCAAACCTTCAGCTTGGTTTTGATGCCAACGTACCCGGATTCGACGATCTAGAGTGGCAAGATACTGCGAACGGGAAGGTCTTTGCTTCAAATATGGCAGTTACTGCTGATGGGTTTTTCAATGATCCTCATGAAGATGGTGATCATACTCGGTATGCATATGGAATCCACTGCTTGATTGATCGTGAGACTGGTATCCCTCATCAGGTGGAAGGATCGCCTAGAAAGGGATCAATCTGTGGAGCTATGTTCATCCTAAAGAAGTTCGATGTGGTGGTGGACCTGGATCCTTTGGATGGTATATATGAAGCTGTATGGGATACTTCGGTGAGTGTGAAGTGTATAATGAATGAAAAGATGGTCCCTAACGTGAATCATGCACCAGGTTGAACATTACACATCAGAATCAGTCACATACAATGAATACGGCGAAGAAGTACATCCTACAAAGTGCCGCATTACCCGCTACGGCTCCTCATGTCAGATTTCACAGTCACTAGTTGACCGTATTTCCCTACTTGAAAAAGATAGAGATAAAGAAGGCATGTCTTCCAGTGAGTGGGAGGCTTATCGTAGATCACGTGTGAAGGCTTATGAACAGGAAACTGCCTTTAAAGAAGTACGTTGTAGAACTTATAACCCAACAAGGGTTATACAGAGCTGGAAGAGGATAATCTACTAATAAAATGACTAGTAGAAGTTGTCTAAGGACTGCTCTTCTAAAACAACACAATCAGAAAGAGCTCTGTTGTATTGAGTACTGATAAGGCACCAGAGAAATATAACTTCACACGTAATTTTAACTTCAAAAGCACACTTTGTATTACTATCAACACTGCTATAGTGTTATTCCCAATTGATAACTGAAAAAAAAAAATAAGCAATATCTGATTGATATTATTCCCAATAAGTCTTTATGACTATAAAACTGAAGTAAATTTCTCTTTATAACTGTAATAAAGGGCGTATTTAAGTGAACAGGTACTATTAAAATAAGTTTATGATGATAAACAAAATAATAATGGCGTAAATGATAAAGAAAAAAAAAGGGGAACAACAGTCCCAAAACCCTCTCAAAGTATATATAACAATGTACTAGAACTTTTCACTACCAGCATAAAGTAATTTTCCCCAGTAAAAAATGAATACATTTAGAGCAAAAAATGATTGAAAATGCATTTAATCAGCATTTAATCAGCAATAAATCAGCATTATTCAGCATGAAATCAGCATTATTCAGCATGAAATCAGCATTATTCAGCATGAAATCAGCATTATTCAGCATTAAATCAGCATTATTCAGCATTAAATGAGCATTCTTGATTAAAAAATGCATTAAATGTAATTGTTTTTTCCTTGGGAAATATACCTTTTGCTGGGAGTGTTTACAATGGTCAACAGCCTCAAAACCAATCAAATCCGCCCAAAATTCCCTAAAAACCCTATGATGACGCAATGTAATGGTTTTGTTACTAATAAATGATGTAATTTTCACAGCTAAAAGTGATCAATGACGCAATAATATGATGTACAGCACTTCTTATGATGAATACAGGTGATTTTTTCCTTGTAAACTAGCTGAAAACCAATTTTTGAGATTACAAATTTTTTCAGATGTGCTCCAATTTTTGATTACTAAAGTGCATCTTGTAGCCCACGTGTTACTGATCATTTCTG